GTAGTTSAAATGATTTCCAATAAAGTATTGACAGACACATAGTACTTACGGCACCCAAATATGACACTTGTTTTCTTCCGATGTCGCCTCGATGGGTAGCTGACTTCTSGTCTGCTTYTCTAGACGCTGTTTTTGTTTTCGCAATTGGCGGCGCGACAGCTGCTCTGCACCCTGTGTTGCCAACTGCCGATTACCATAGTAATAATTTAAATCATTCTCATTGAACTGTCTGCGTGCAGTATCCCTACCGCGATTGGTAGAGCGCTGATACGGCGACACATCATTTGATGCATCGTCCGCTTCACGGGAGTCAACAGTGTAACCACCGTAAGGCTGACGTTGCTGCCGATGATGATGCTGGCTTTCAGCATTGCCGACAATTACAACAAAGTGTAGACACAACAACACCAWGAAGCACAAACTGAATTGTTTACTAGTGAAAACTGTTGTCATGATGGCGTCAAATATATGAAACCTACATATGTATATGTAACTGATATGACACGTTTGATCACTTTCTTATTTTTGCTGGCTTATCTGCCTTAGTTCTGAGATTTGGCGTGCTTGAAATTTGCAATTTTCGATTTTGTTTTTCGCCAAAGAGTTTGCTTTGCACATATATTTTAAACTGTTATTTTTTTAATTTGATTTTTAAGATTATCTTGGTTTTTTTTTTGTTGTTATTTTTCGAAATAAGCCTTATTTTTTGGCTACTCGAGCACTCTAACTAAGTTTAACCGAATATTTTTGATTCCGCACTCAAAATGATTTGCTGTACTAGCGCTCCGTGCGAATAATCCATACTAAAAGTTAGTTGAGCAAATATTCTGCGAATCGGTGGGCGTGATAACTACAAACACTGAGCAATAGTGTTGCCACAGTTCGTCTTTGCCCCCATGTCCGTCGGTTAAGCATTTCTCTTCGCTCATTTCGTGGCGTTTGAACTTTTTGTTTTGTAGGAAGTACGCAAGCTGACGTTGGCCCTCTGAAAGGTCTTTCACAGCGTCGCTTATCAATATTGGCAGCCTATTTGTGTGTATGCGTTGCTGCTCGCATGTGTTATTAATGAGCTTTGTTGTTTTATATTTTTGTTTTCGTTTTTTACCCTTACTAGTGTTCAATCTCATAGCATTAGCATTGCAGTATTGGTGGAGACTTTCGAAAAAAAATAGAAGGTTTCCATCAAGCGATAATCATCTGAGTGAGTTTTTTTAATATTTAAATATTATATACATATGTATATAGTATTTTGTAGAATTATTTTATTTTTAGAAAACGAATATTAATAGAATTTGGCGTTTTATTCGTAAATTAGGGCGATGTTTATTTTATAAAATGGTAAGCTATATATGTATGTACACATATACATAGATACAAGGACGGGTAAAAAATATATATACTATATATATATACTATATATTTTTTTCACTTGGTACTCTGAAAAATAYCTGGCTCTGCTACCATAATAAAACACACCTTTTGGCTTAAATCATTTTTTATTCAACATAGTTTCCTTCAAGGATGATAGACTGTTTATAGCGATCCTTCAAGTTCCCAATAACATTTTGCTTCAAAATAGGCCTCAGTTTCGGCGATCATCTCTTCATTCAATGAATATTTCTTCCCAGTGAGCAATATTTTTTTGATCTAAGAATATAAAATAGTTTCTGAGGCCAGATCTGGAGAATGCGGTAGATGCGGAAGTAATTCGAAGCCCAGTTCATGGTTTTTTGTCATCGACACAGACTTGTGACACGGAACATTGGCTTGGTGAAACAACACTACCTTTTTTCMAATGGTCCAATAACGCTATGAAATAGTCGCTTTATTAGCAGGTTATTTCAAGGTAGTCAGTGCAAGTTATTCCTTGCGGCTTTCAAAATTCAGATGCCATAATCTTGTCAGCCGTTTGCTAATTTACCATGCTTTGGAGCAGGTTTTCATTCGGATGACTGCCGATAGAACTCCCGAGTGATATGATAGAGACATGTTGCTTTTATGGTGACACATCGGCTCCCACCGACTTTGTTCCTTTGTACTTAACCAAGACCGACATCCAAATGCKTCCGCAACCGCCCCACCCGGACWTTTTTTCTTCACCTRACTGAAAAGGCCRATGGAAGGCAAGGATTATGAGACGAACGAGGGGATTCAAGCAGCATGCGCCTCGGCTCTCAAATTTTGGAGAATATCTTCCCTAACGCCTTTTTTGCTTGGAAATCACTCTGGTAGCGCTGCATCGACGCAGAAGGAGCATGTTTAGAAAGTGTTTGTAGAATTGTAACGAYTGATTCAATAAATTTTTTTAAATCGACCTAGTCCTATTACTTTCCGGACAAACCTTGCATTTTATTTTAATTTTTGTTTGAACAACTCATAAACGCTTAGTTTAATCCAAAACAAACGAAATATTTTTTCAAGTAGACGAAAGCGATATATAGTATTTTTTTTATTTGAAAATAAATAGAAATCAAGATCTCATAACTGGAGAGGTTGCTTTTTCACCCACTCTAATAGACGTATATATATGTGAAATATTTGTTATTGTGACACAACCGAAAATTTATGAGAATAAAGTTCAGGTTGAAGTACAAGAAATAACAGTAATATACGACTCAGTGCGACGAGCCTGAATTGAGCACCTATTGAATACACACATATACCCAATTACATACGTGTTTACAGTTACCTATTCATTTAAAACAGTGCAATGGTCTTTCCTCTCGCGCAGCGACGAAGTGTCGAAAACCTTTGAGGACATTCACTTCTATTATTGACACAGTGCACTTTTTATCAATCTCACACAAAATTTTATAAATTGGCATTTCCAAAATTTCTTTATCACTAGCTGTACCGAATGCAAACCAGTTCACTCAATCAACCCAAACCGCAAAGACAACAATACTGTTGCTAAAAGTCATTAAATATTTGCAATTGCAGAACATTTTTGCGCAATGAAAGTCATATTCRTCCTTACGCTGTGGTAAGTACAGAAATAGAAACACATGTTGCGACTACTAAAGTGTTTATGGTACTCGTGTAGCCTGCTGTTGCACGACAGTATGTGCAGCGAGCGATGTCAGCACCAACACAAGGGCGGTAACGAGCGCTTCCCTAAGGACTTCTCTTTCGGCGTTTCGACTGCAGCTTACCAAATAGAAGGCGCTTGGAATGAGGATGGCAAAGGGCTCTCCATTTGGGATACATATACGCATACGCATCCGGAGCGTATACGGGATCGTACTAATGGTGATGTGGCGGCGGAATCTTACTATCGTTTTGAGCAAGATTTAGCGGCGCTGAAGAAACTCAAGGTATGTGAGATGTTTTGAAGAAAACACCATAGAAGTTTATCTATTAAATTAATAATAATTTTCATGCACGTTTTGCTGTGTTCAAGGTCAACTTCTATCGCTTTTCGTTCTCATGGCCCCGCCTGCTGCCCAACGCAGATACGACGGTGATAAATCAAAAGGGCATTGACTACTACAACATGATGATAGACAAGCTGTTGGCGAATAACATTGAACCCATGGTGACGATGTTTCACTGTGACCTCCCGGAGGCGCTCAACAATTTCGGCGGCTTCACCAATGCTATTATTATAAAATATTTCCGTTACTACGCTGAGTTTCTATTCGAAACTTTTGGCGATCGCGTCAAGAAATGGATCACTTTYAATGAACCYTTCGATTACTGCGTTTTGGGCTATGGCAAATCGTACTTTCCACCACTGGTGCATTCACCCGGTGTTGCCGACTACCTCTGCATGGATAATACATTGCGCGCTCATGCCGCCGCTTACCGCGCCTAYAGAGCGAACTATTTCCAGAGGCAAGGCGGTAAAATAGGCATTACAATAAGCAGTCGTTTCTATTACGCGCAGCATAAGAGTGGCGATGAAGACGTCGTTGAACGCGCCATGCAGTACTCGGTAAGTAAAAGGCATTAGAAAACAGATTTTGAAGCTTTGCGCTTTTTAGTSATACCACATCGGAGTTCCTACTTAAAATTGTACTATTGCAGCTTGGTTGGCTGGCCAATCCCATTTTCGGCAAGACTGGCAATTATCCTCAGCTCGTATTGGACGATATTAGAAACAATAGCTTAAGCGAAGGTTTATCCTGGTCGCGCTTGCCGCCGTTTAATGAATTCTGGTCTAAGGTCATTCGAGGTGCTGGCGACTTTYTGGGTCTCAATTACTACACTTCACGTTATGCTGCATTCACTAACACACCCGCCGGCGAGATACCCTCTTGGGAATACGACTCGCAACTTCAATATTCTGTTGATGAGAAGTGGAAGCAGGGCAACTCTAATTGGCTTTACTGTGTTCCGCAAGGACTCGAAGACATTCTAAAGTAAGTAGAGGGTAGAGTAGAGGGGTAACGAATTTACATATATAAATTTTCTAAAGAGGAGCTCTACCTTCTAGTAGCATTTTATTTYTCTTTTACATTGTTTCTTCTTACAATATTAAATATCATCTTTCGTAGATGGATCCGCGACCACTACGACAATGTTGAGGTCTTCATAACGGAAAATGGTTGGTCGGACTATGGCCAGTTAGAGGACACAGAACGCGTCGATTTCCTACAGGCTCACTTGCAAGCGGTGCTAAACGCCATTAATGATGGCTGCAAAGTCACACATTACTCACACTGGAGTTTAATTGATAATTTCGAGTGGAACATGGGCTATACGTAAGCCAAGCTAAAAACTTCTGCTTTACTTCTTTTGCTCACTTTTTGCTTTTCGGTTTGAATTTCAGCCAGAAGTACGGTCTCTATTATTTGAATATGACGAGCCCAAATAAGGATCGCATAGCCAAGAAGTCTGCACATTATTACAGAAGTGTGATCGATGGTAGAAAAATATTACATAACCTAAATTAAGTAAGAAAACCAAAGTATTCATTCTATACMATAACAAATTATATTATATGACTAAAAATAAATACCTCGTAGGCAACTCTTAAAAGAAGCAACTTTTTATAGAAATATCAAAATAATAACTAAAAAATAATGAAAGATCGTATGCACCAATTGTTAGGTTAGCGTAGGTCGTGAGATTGAGCCAAAATTGGAAAACACAAGTTGTCCTTTGTTTAACTAATAATCTCCTAAGAGATAGATCACCAGATACTTATCGATCGACGGTTAATATTAGTGACAGCAACTGTACTTTTGTTCGTCAAAGGCAACGGCGATATTTCATTCCCAGTTTGGAAAACCCTAAACAATAGAGAAGGAAGTGACAAGATGATTTCATCTCGCCTTCCTCCATTTAGCTTCGGAAAAATTTACTAGACAGTGTCCTGGCAGAACACCTATATTTGTCGCGAGATTAGYTAGCTAAGATTCAGCAGAGCGGAAACCGCTTACGTTTCACTCTGCGCCTGAAGGATCTCGTAGTCGCACAAGTTCTGGTTATTCACCACTGAGCTCACTTATGGTCCAACGTCCAACGCCAAAACGCAAGCAGACATCGAAGAAGCGCATCCACTCCAACCGTATGAAATCGGTCTTGCAGTTTTTAGAGACTCCGCTCTGTTTGGACATCCTAAGGGGTTTAATTTAGAAGAAGCTTGGAGCTATCGATAATGAGGTCAGAAACTCCTTAACTAGTTTTGAGCTCACAGTCAGGAGCCTAAGTGCATTGATAGCAATCACCCCCGCTCGAGAGATGCAACATTGGTCCGCTGGTCTGAAACTAGAGTCGATGAAAAGCTCCCTACAGAAGACTCCGTCGCCTACTTTTTCCCTTAATCCATCCATCCATCGATCCTTCTTTGSATGGAGCYCCTCATATGAGAAGTTTATATAGGTATAATGGCAGCCTTCCCGCTAAGCACCTACCAGCTATGGCTACAGATGGAACCAGTAGAATGGCATTGGTGCYATTGTTGGGGTAGTAATTGTGATCTCACGTATACCAATGTGGGCCTCTCTTCTAATAACGTTCCAACTGTTTAGCTAGTGTGGTTTTYCCAAGCGTCCTCTACCATGGCTTCTCATATACAACAATATAAAACACAAGATACATTTCTCACATTCTCCTCGATCTTGCTTTCCATAAAAACTTCCCCACGAGTACTTCACGTGGTCCACCGGTTGAAGAATATACATCAAAACGAAGGGAGAGTAACAACAGATTTATGTAGGCCCTAGTCAGTAAAACTAGCTCAGTGTCGGCATAGGCAATCAAGAACTTAGTATTACACTTAACTCATATAAGAGTTCAAGTATGTCCTACCGTGAGTGCCGCTTTCATTTTACATCATGGAAAAGTAGAAAATACGAAATAGTAAGCACTACTAACACTAGTTGAAAACCCATCAGAATCAGTTGAATCTCATTAAGAAAGGCTTATTGGTAATGCTAAGAGTATTGTATCTGTAGCAGAGGCCGACTTTGAGCAATTTAGCTAAATTTGTAAGCCTATCACACTAGATTCAAGATGATTGCTCTCAATCTCTTCTAGTCTATTGTCCATTCAAGTAAGCGCTGAGRCTAAATTTAATACTAAGTTGTGGTTTTGTTTCAGTGCGAAACAGTTGTTCAAGCGTCTCAGACATTCCCACGCGGTACATAGGCGTTTTTTAATATTGATTCTTCATTTGTTTTTCGTTTCTACTTTGTTTTGTGGAAATTATGTCACTTTTGCGCGCTTTAGCTGTCAACTCGCTCTTATCATTTGCGTTTCTGTTTTGCTTCGTGTACTGTGTACATTTTGAAAAATATTGGACAACAACAACCACMACCGTCAAGCCGTGGCACATACGCCAGCCGGGCCTATCACTGCCGCTGCCCCACAGTCACCCGTCTAAGTGTTCGCGTGAAGTGCCGTGAGTACGACAAGTAGACAAGTACACCACAAATCTTTGATTAATTTGAATTTTTTCTTATGTCGTCCCCCAATGTTCCAGCGCGGTATTCTTCCAGTTCGAGAAGGACGTGCAAGTGGTGGGCAAYAGYACAAACAGTATTTATTTCAATATCATAGAGGAGTGCTGCAAGGGTTATAAGCGCTACGACTTCGACTGGAACCGCTGCGTGCCGGATTGYGGCAACAAATGTCAGGCCAATGGATTTTGCTTGGATGGCGGCATTTGCAAATGTTTTGACGAATTCGTGCACAATCATCGCAATGTCTGCATACCGACTTGTCCGCTTGGCTGTCCACACGGTCAGTGTTACTTGAATGGCACTTGTATTTGCGATGCGGGCTACGAGTTGGATCCGACACGAAAGTAYTGCACGCCGCGCTGTGAGTCCAGTTGTGCACGCAATGAGATCTGCGTCGAGCCGAATAAGTGCGATTGTGCCGAGGGATATACGCGTGCGCTGCCACCCAGCACCATGGGCTGTCAGCCCATTTGCATACCGGATTGTGGTTTTGGGCATTGCGTGTCGCCAAATCAGTGCGAGTGCTTCCGTGGCTATCAAAAGCGCGAGAACCGCACCTCTTGTGAGAGTAACTGTTACATGTAAGTGCTGAGCTTAACTCTCAGAACCACTGCTCTAAAATGTATTACATACAGGCGCTGCGAAAATGGCTTCTGTGYGAATCACACCACYTGTATTTGTCAGAAYGGTTACCGCTACGACCRSAATACGAGCTCTTGCCTTCCCATTTGTAGCGAAGACTGCGAAAACGGCATTTGCATCTCGCCGGGCGTATGCCGCTGCTTCAATGGTTATGTGCGTCGCGGTCCAAAGTGCGATGGTGTATGCGAGGAGTAAGTTTGGTAAAATACTTCCCMATGTATACAGTATAAATTCAACTTTATTCACAGAGGCTGTGGCTTTTATGGCAAGTGCATAGCACCGAACGTTTGCGGTTGTTCTCTTATTGAGGGTCCCGTGCGCAACTTTCAACGCTGTGCACATGGAAATTGCAATTCCAAAGGTCGTTGTCGTTGCAAGGAGGGCTTCGTACGTTTCATCGATCAATGCATGGAGCCAGATAAGGTGACCACTTATGCATCTATGCGGCCCAGCCGACTGAATCAGACACTGTTGCTAGAGTTCAATATGCTGATCGGCAGACATTTCATGTTTCCTTTTCAAATTCCGCTCATTTATTGAGAGCGATACTTTGTACTTTGGGTTTATGTAAAATATARAATTTATAGCTACTTCCTTATTCTAAATTCAAATTATTTAGAATTCTATGATAATATTCAAAGATTTGGGACGGGGGCGATTAAATGATATCTTTTTTGATGTTTTAAGACACTTCGTGTATATTTTCTCGGAATTTCAATTGCTGGGTTAGGTCACTTATAGTCGGTCAGCAGATCCTCATAGATCAACGAAGCCTTGTGAGCTTACCAAAAATTTATATAGACTATTAATGATATGTCTATATTTCAAACTCATTCTGGCAAAAGCCGGGCAGTAGAGTCTTAACTATTCAAACTTGCATTCCTCCATGAGGCTTTGCCAAAGATATTGAACAGCGTTTTGTCAGTACCCTTCCTATTGCGGAGAGATTGACATAGCTGCGAGCAAATCAATCAGAAGACATCTTACAGTTAACTCTGGGYCAAACAACTCTTTGTTATGGTGRTTGACCAGCGCTTGCCGAGCTTACTGAACATCCATACGTTCAGCGCTGGAAGGTAAAAGGGCATAGATTGCGAATCGATTTGCCTCCAATCGGATGAAATGGAAGTAAGAGTGCCCGAAACGAAAACCTGCTTAATTTAATTTGCATTTATGGGTGATCCATTTCTGTGGTGGCTATTTTTAGATATCCTTGGATGAGGTTCTAAACGACGTTTAGGAACTTTCTTTATCAAAAGAGCTTCATCGTCAGCAAACGCAACTACCTGGCAGTCTTGTTTCTCAAGTTCCTTCAAATGATCATTCAACACTTTGTGCCAGAACAGCGGTAAAACGACGCCACTTTCCGCTTTTCCTCTATTTTCTATCCGACTTGTCCATGCACTTCTTCACTCCACTRCATCCGATTTGTCGCAAAAAGAACTATAGATGTGAGTTTTATCAAACTTGCTAAGACCTCCAATAATCGCCACCGACCATACGTTGTGGAAGGCCGCCTCGATATCATGGAAGGTACCCACAATATAGTCTTTATATGTAAGGGATCGATGCTGTCATGACACTACTGCCTTTGTTGCAGGCATACTCAGCAGTAGTAATTCATRAATCATTCTAGCAAATGGAAACAAAGCGAGATTGATAGGCTTCATTAGCAGTGACCTAAACGCTTTTATCGGCCTTCGGGACTAACCACCCCAACCTGCCTCTAAACTGGTGAAATGTGACTTATCTGACGCTGGTCACTTAATGATTTTTAATGTTTTTAAGGTTATGTTCTCTGACGTTCCTTTGTTCTGTTAGCTCTTTGATATACTTCACGTGCCCATTGTCTCTTTGAATCTTCGAAAGAGGTAATAATAAAAAAAAAAATAATATTTAAACAGCAGTATAACATTGCTTACGAAAGATACTCAAAACCCATTCAAAAATTGTCATAACTGTTTGATGTTGTACAAAAGTTTTTCAACTTGTCTGTGGATACCTTACTCGTTCAGGAAACGCAACCAACTATGCAGTAGTAAAGTTAATATAAATTTAAACTCTCGCCTACTTTTAGGCGTCAGATCGCAAATAAGTAATTTGCTGTTCAAAAAGTGGATTTTTAGGCACGCCTATAAGGTAGGCACTAGTATTGGTGGATGATAGTGCATTTCAATTATAAACACACATATTTATATAAGGAACTATAAAGTATAATTTTTAAGCTACACACACATACGTAAAATGTGCATACGTGAGCAACGAATGACAATAAAAAATTGCTGCTTTTAATTCTAATATCAGTGCCATGAACTTTCGTATCACTTAACTCATGCAAATTGGGTTAGTTGGGTTAGCAGCTAGATTATGCTCAATCTATATAATTTGTAGCCGCCTATGCGTTCTCTCACGCAAACTGCTCTCCACTTTTGTAGCAAACACAGTGCGGAAAAGCTAATATAGAAATTTGTATCAGCTGCTGTCTTATCAGCGCCATAACCAGCGCCATATGTGGACTTTCTTTGCGTTAAGAGTATAAACAATAAGAATTATGCGAAGAAAGCCTGAGAACTGTCGGAACAAAGCATAAGTAGAGAAAGATACAGTAAGCTGCAAAGTGAACTCKGAAGAAAACTGTGGGGAAAAGCGTTTGAGGAGCAGACAACAACGGGCAACCGCGCGACGGCGTTAGTTCTGAAAAGAAAGCCACGCGCTGCGGTTTAGTAAGAGATAATCATATTCATAGAAAAAAAAATTTTTTTCTTATTATTATAGTATTTATTAGAAATTTTAACTCATCAGCTATGAACTTTAATGTGCTTGCATTGCTGGTGATGCTCTACACAACACTGCTGACGAATGTGGTGAATGGCCAATTCTGGAGGTTAAACAGTCCAAGTGACCGCGATAATTTTATTTTGGAAACCAAATCGGTTATGGCCTCCGGCATATGCTACAAGGAAGTGCTGTGAGTGAAGATCAATTGTAATTATTAACTGACAAAAGCGTTATACTGTTGTTGGCTGATAACAGTTTAGTTTAATAAATAAAAAGTTGCCATTTAACTAAAAAAAATCACAGGCATTTTTGTTAATTAAAATATTTATACATGCAGTGGCGAAGCTAGCGAGCCCACCTTGAAGCTGCAAACGATCTCCTATTGCTGYCCTGGCTATCGGCGCGACTTGCAGTCCTCGGCAATGCATTGCGAGCCCATCTGTTCGGAGGATTGYACGAACGGCATTTGCACGGCGCCGGATGTTTGCGAGTGTTATCCGGGCTACACACGCGCCGGCGGTCGCTGTGAGGAACTGTGAAGTGAGATGACAGATATTTTTAAGTATTAAACTTAGAATAGAGACAGACACTAGAAGCCGCAAGAATATTGAGATTTTATTATGTAAAGGCACGAATTACATACAATTGCATTATAGAAAGACTTCTCGAGTCGAATGTTGTATACTATTTGATCTTTTAAGGGTTGCATAGTGTTAAAGTAAAAGCAAATCATAATTTCAATAAAGTTCTGTAAAAATTTAATACAATTTTATACAAATTAAATACTTTTAAAGCAATAAAATGTTGCTAATAGCTGTAACACTGTACAAACATTTTGTCAGAACCCTTAAAATTAATGGCTTTTTATTTTTTAATTAGATTCTTTTTAATTTTGCCTTTGAATATGACTCGAACTGGTCCATTGCAATTGCCCACGCAAGAAAAGGAAAAAAAAAATGTTTAGGTGAACATCTTGCAGGAAATGGTCGAGGGGTCTACTTCATCCCGAACATAAGTATTTGAGTGGCGCAATACCTTCAGTGAAGGTCGTTAAGTCATCGAAAACTTGCCTCATGCGAGTCGTCCATCTCTCTATGTTCTCCGTTAATGACGATAACATCGAAATAGCTAAGGAAACATTACATGAAAACCATCATTTTGGCATCGGAGTGATAATAAAGATTCTCAATAACGTTAATGAATCAACTTGCCCATATCTTGGTTAATGTTTTGGATATAAAACGGATCGAATAGAGACTTGTACGAAAAGTCTCGGTTTTATGGATATGACGCCGGAATCGTCTAGCAATGGTGCTCCAAGCATAATCTGTGAACGAAAAAAGCACATAAATGGCGGTAAGAAACAAAAGCGATGTTCCTCGTTGTCTTTAATTACCGCGGTGTCAGCAAGAATTTGTGGCGCAGGATCCAACGAACAATAATTAATACTACTTAGACGTTTTAGGGACGACCGGATTTGTGGGTAGAAATGCTTTCATTTTTCAATGAGGTAATGCCCAAGGCCGAGGCTTGCAATAGTGTATGGAAATAGAACAAAACGGCTTATATTGGCACAAAAGGAGCCTATTTTAAAAACGATAAGAGATTTGTATGGAAATACATAAAAATGTAGGTAGTCCGGGTCAAATTTGATCAGTTGGCATACATGTATATATATGTATAGTAAGTATGTCTGTACACCTTGAAAATAACTGGCGTCAAAATCAAACAACTTGCTGTATACCATGTTTGCTTACACTGAACCCAAAAAAAATAAATATCTTTGATACAGCAAGCTGACATTTAATATAAAAAGAGTGCTGCTCATTGCGTATACATATGTAAACACTTGCTTTTTAGCTTATACATATGTATGTAAGTGACTTTAATCCATATGAGCGCCGTTTGAGTTAATGAGATAAGAATTTATAAATTTACTAACAACAAAAACACATGTGTAACAAACAATAATTGCACAGTGTGGGCAAAAAGTGGAGGCAAATCAACAACAGCACAAAGTTTACATATGTGTCAAACCGAAATGCTTGAAGAACGCTGGCTGCACATACTACAGTTGTATGTGTATGTGCCAAGACCAGTGTTGAGCCGCTTTTCGAAAATGACGTTATCAATAATTCGTGGAAGAACAAGAGAAATATGAAAACAAAACAACACAAGCAACTTAGACAGATTTATAGCTTGATGCTTGATGATGATAGGTTGGATGTCGGATTATGGGGTTGGGAGGAATATAGGAAGGGGATTTTTTGTAAAAAAAAAGCAGTCAGATATTAAAAATAAAAATCTTTTATTAACGAGAATTTAAATGGAATAATAAAACTGATTCTAAATAAGGCATAAAAAAAATGGAAAATTTAAATAATGTCAAATTTTGTTACATTTATTTCATCGAAATATCCATCAACTTATGGTCAACATAATCGGTCTACTGAGCGTATTATTCGCAATGCCATCCCCATCTTGAGACTCCGCATTCATTATTGGATAAAATTAGACCAAATAGACCGCGTCAAGCACGCASTGAAGAAAATACAGCAGGCGTAGCTAGGAGTGTACTCGAAGAGCGTAAAGAGKCAATTCGGCGCCGTTCAAAGCAACTCGGAGTGACGTATGAAAAGACTTGGCGAATTTTACGTCGACATTTTTAGAAGCGTATAAAATACTGCTTGTGAAAGAACTGAAGGTGCTCGACGTTCACAAGCGACATGGTTTCGATCTAAGAAAGAGAACTATATTCTTCTACAGTTTCTTTTACGGTAAGCATTTTAAGTATCCATAGAGTACAAAATTTCTAACATAAAAATGTGCACCCATGACGAGTGTTGCTTTATGGTACGGGTAGCTTGTTCCAAAAATTTATACGTGATCTTGAACTAATGAGCCAGTACCGCTATGCAAAGTTTAACCTGAACTGGGTTCACATAATTTCCACGTGTTCTCTCCATGWATGTCTTTTCTCAATTGTACCATAAGTCCCAGATATTTTGCGGTTGTGCTTGTTGGTAGCAACTAACCACATAGAATCATTTGAAGACATACATATTTCGTGCCTAAGGGCACAGTACACCACTAGTAGGAATTTTTAGTATTAAAGCCAATATTACATTTTGTGAGTCATGGTTCTAGAGCGAACAATTGCGTTCGAGTGAAATTGCTACTCAACGTCAGTAGTAACCGCAGAGAATATAGAGCGCCGGTGCAAGGATGCTGTCTTGAGATACAAGAACGCGTGTGTGAGATCCGACTCAGCGTCGCAACAACTGACGTGGAATGTCCGATTATACAGGTATGACTTTAGCTGCATTAAGTGAGCCATGACAAGTTGTTTTCTTTAGCATATTAAGGGTGATAGAAAGTTAACACAAATTGGATTATAATACAGTCAAATTCTATTCTTGCATTAATTTTGGCACTATGTGGTTAATATGTCTTCCAATCCAATTTTCCATGGCAACAGTTATAAAATATTGTATTGTGTGGCATTGCTCAATTGTGCCATGAAACTCTCTGAATTCAAACTCTTGAGCCGGGATGAGTGGTTTCTCTTCCATCAGAGCAAAAACCGGTACAAAAATATTCTCGATATCGATTTGAATAGACCAGATGTTCAGGTTTACCAGACTCCGGAATCAAAATTATCTCAGCACCTTCTCATTGCGAAGGAGAAAGGCACCGCTTAAACCACTAGCCATGATTTTTACCAACGATTCATAAAATAATTCAACAACAAAATTTTTATTTTTTATAATTCTTGTAAATAGTACACACATTTACAATTTTGCTTTCCTTTTATTAAGAAAAAGTTAGAATSAAACGCATATGATAATAAATCAATGAAATATTATATCTAAGAAGTTATGAAACTAAAACCAGTAATGGACTGTTTGGCTCAACTAACACAGAATTCATTTGCCATATATCATACATAATGCATACATACATACGTATATGTTTAGATGTGCAATTGAAATTCGCAGCTCATTTTATGTACTCCAAACGCCGGAACAGCGTCATTTACATATATGAATGTTGTTGTGACTAAATCTTTGATTTAAATATATCTGCACTTTTCAAATAATTTTGCTTCAACTCGCAGCTCAGTTGAAGCGTAGCTTTTGCCTCCGACGGACGTGTCTCATTTTCAAATTACGACAATAACAAAATACTAATAATAAATTCGCGCATATACATACATACAAACACATATTTTTACGTAGTGATCTCATCGCAGAATTCGCAACTACAATGCATACGCTTGGCACACTTGTAAGCGCACTGCTGCTGCTGACAGCGGGCGCGCATGCGCAGATCAAAACACACTATCCTGCCGGCATTAAGACGCACTATCCTGCCGCACCGAACTCCGCCAACTTGCTGTATAATGAGCACAACTATACGGCRCAGTACAAYCGCAMCTTCACTGCAGCGGACACCTATCAGGGTGGCAGTRCAGGCGTGGTGAGTGACAATGCTGGCGTTGTTAATGGCTATGCTGTCGATGGCGATGGTAAGGCGCATTTGGCTGGTGGYAACCACCTGGCAGCTGGTGAGGAATACCACTACTATGGCGCTGGCGGCAGTTACAGYAGCGGCGGTAGCTTCAGCAGTGGCGGCAGTGCTAGGCAACGCGTGCCACARTTTGTAGATGCGGCCGCGGAGTTTGTCAACAAGACACGCTCTCAAATGGCGTCTGGCATTTGCTACACGGAAGTGCCGTAAGTAGACTAGGCTTTTTAAAAGACGATGCACAAGCGGATTTCTAATTTAAAAAACTGGTGAAGAAGATATTTTTTTAAGTAAATAGTTAGGAATGTAGAGAGTTTCGGTCAAATGTCAGCAGATGCTTTTACAGAACATTATATTATAACTTTTTTAATTTTGCTTATTATTTTAATCTCATTCCTTTTAGAAGTAGTTTTGGAGGCCTCAATAAAAACAAGTGCACAATTTTTGCATAAAAAAAAATATTTATTGATTATATAGAAACATATGTGCTGCCCATATTTCATATGACAGATGTCTTTAGTGAAACAAAAATATTTCCTTCTTTTTCTGATTAAAACTAATTCAACATTTGGTGCCGAACTTTTTTATATTCTCTTAAATATGCATCCTATAAAATATCAAAAACATTCCGAATATATATAATATATATGTCTATATGAATACCTATTTCGTATTGCAGAGCTATACACTTGTGTATTATTATTAACGAGTTCGTAAATAATATTGAACTRGTAACCTCAACATCCTCATTGCGGCGATAAGTGATAAGCAAATCGGAACACTAAACTGAAAATAATAATAATTTAGCTCTAAAAATATTGCTTTATCGCTAATCTATTTAGCAAGAGAGCAGCAGTTGGGAGATGGTTATAGTTTGAAACGATATTTCGCTTTGTACGCGCCATGAGTTGTTTAATATTTTGGAAAAAAAAAAATATTTTGAAATTTTTAATAAATAGAACACTGGCCACTGCTCAACGCAATTTCCGTTTTCGCAATGTTTAACCAGCAATATATTGACTTGTTTACATAAGCAATAATAAATGTAATTTTTCACTATTTAACACCACAATAATGCCAGAGGCGAAATTCAGTCACTTAGTTAAACAAGTCACAAAGATATTCATTGTCTCACACCTCCTATAGCTGGTGATAATTGAGTCATAGCTTCATCGATGCCGAAACTTTATAGTAGGATGTGACTATTGTTCCCAAAACAGGTTTTTCTATATTCGTTTGTTTACTGTTCTTTACTTCAAATCGCTTGAGGAGCGAACAAAAGGAACGTTTTTATTAAAAACAGTAAAACATCAAATAAAAATGTCTGGTACTTATATATGAATATATTTTGTTGTTTGTTTGCTTTGAATWTCCAATGAATCTGTAGGAAATAATTGAAGATATGCAATTAAAAAYAAGAAATGCTACACACATAACWGATCAATTTAAAGGTCCCCGGCATACCATAGTAAAACACACTTTTTTTGTTTTTTTTAATTCCTTGTTTTATTCAAGAAAGTTTCCTTTAAAGGCGATATACTSAATATAGCGACTGTMGAACCTTTTGATAMMAATTTTGTAGTASGATTTTTCWCAGCTTCGMACCAGCAAGCACTGTTTTGAGATCTGAGGACAGGAAAGAGTCCCTAASAATGAGATGTGAACAATATTTCGGTTACGTAAGCAATTTGAAGCCGAATTCATACATACACATTCATACACAGACTTGTCTTGGTGAAACASCACTTTCGTTTTCTTCAAATGCGGCCATTTTTCGGCGATTTCGTCCTTCAAATGGTTCTGTAACGCTATGAAATAGTCGCTATTGATGGGCGTTTTCTTTTTTATTTTTTGCCAAATTTCGACTTTTGCCGTGCCAGTGATCATATTCTACTATATTCTACTCATATGAAATATCGTTCACCATGTTTTTGTTCAAATTATATTTGTTTAAGATCCATCAGCAAAAACTCGATTGATCATTCCGATCGAACTCTATCTCGCTACTAAATAATTTTAGTTGTTATGAACGGATTTGTTAAGTTCAACATATGAGAGCTGAAGTGCCAAGTGAAAAAAATGTATAATCGCTTTCAGATATTTTAAACAGTATGTAACCATTTTATAACCAAACTTAAATATTAGTGGTTTCTTTATATCGTTTTTTCTTCGCCTGTAAACTTATGAAAAGTGATGTTACGTTRTTTTGCATTTTATGCATATATCATTGKTTTACTMTCATCTAAGAGGTATAGACARCTAGAATATAATTAAAGAACCTTAATCTTATTTTTATTCAATTATTCAATTCCACTTCCATCAGAGTTTTTGAAAAAAAAAATTAATAGCAACAAAATCTTGCTCACGTTCCAGCACCTCAACACTGGTACGTGATAAAACGATGATACCAGCTGGTAACGGCACCAGTGCCGACAAGAGCAAAATCCAAATATGCTGCGAGGGCTATGTGCGCAACCCACACGTCTACTCACGYTGCGATCCAGTCTGTCTCGACGACTGCCCCAACGGCATTTGCACGGCGCCCAATACCTGCGTCTGCATACCCGGTAACGTACGCAATCACGAGGACAAATGCATTTCCACCTGCCCCATCGGCTGCGGCAATGGTGTGTGCGATGMACAAAATCAATGCAAATGCAAAACCGGCTATACGCTGGACGTGAAAACACAGAAATTTTGTGTGCCTCAATGCGACAGGCCCTGCGATTATGGCAAGTGTGTAGCGCCCAATAAGTGCGATTGCTTTGATGGTTACCGTTTGACCGCCGGTGGTGTGTGTGAGCCGAAATGCGACAATTGCGAGAATGGACGCTGCTCAGCACCGGGCTTGTGCACATGCGATCAGGGTTACACAAAAGTGGATGGCGTTTGTGAGCCCGTGTGCACGCTGTGMGTAKACYTCAACTTGCTGCAAGTTCCCTACCAATAACTATGTTTGTTTATCTTTCAGCGGCTGTGAGAAGGGACGCTGCGTTGGACCCGACGTYTGCGCGTGCACCAAAGGTTTCGAGCTAGATCGCTCYGGCACCAAATGCATACCACATTGCGATCAACCCTGTCTGAATGGCGTCTGCGATGGAGCGAATAGTTGTGCCTGCAACCCTGGCTATATATCGGACGAGGTACAGAAGAACGTGTGTCAGCCRCATTGTCCGCAGGGCTGCCCCAATGGCTACTGCACTGCACCAAACTTTTGCGTCTGTAAGCCAGGCTACCGCAAGTCTGGTATTAAGGGCCGCCAAACGTGCACAGCTGTCTAGTGAAGTTTGTTGAATTCTTTAAACTTTTTGATTCTTGAATGTTTTTCTCTTTAATAGAAAAAAAGGCAAAATATATATTTATATTAATAAACGTATAACTTATATAGTTGTTTTATTGCTTGAAAAGGAAGTGACGTCCTATAAGCGTCTTGAATTCACGCCACAACAGCCGATTGAAGTACTGCTCGTTGACGCTCACCAGCTCATAGAGTTGGTTTGAATCTACGCATCTGTCTATGAAGTGTGTCAACGCAATCGGACAAACGCAATGCCCGCTTGGGTCGCAAATTCCCGATCTACAAAGTTGCCCAGTTCGCCTGCAACCACAAACTCCAGGTTCTAGGCATTCGCCATAGTATCCACAGTTGCTGAAATTGCAATGATTATTGCTTTCAGAATGCTTTCATTTCGATCTCAAGTATTTAGAGATACTCTTCTAAGCTAAAACCCTTCTTCTCTCTATTATTTCCGATTCTCTGATCATCTGTATAAAACAATACTTACGTCTTGCATATCGGTTCACAACCGGGTTCTCTATACTCATAGCCCTCGAAACATCTGCACACTCCAGGTCCAATGCAAACACCACCCCGGCAACTGTCACCACAATCCGGCAAACAACTGGTGGTGTCCACATCATATTTGTAACCATCCCGACACTGACAGTTATTGCGCGACTCACAGAAACCATTTTCGCAGCTTCTACAACAACAACAATATGTATAGCATATTAGCTAAAGAAAATATTCCTACAAGCTCTACGTACATATAGCAATCGGCTTCGCACACATTTCGCAAAGGCCGCTTATGGTAACCTTGAAAGCATTCGCACTTATTCGGGCCCACACATTTGCCATGCCCACAATCGGGTATACAAACCGGTTGGCAGCCCAAATCCGGCGTCATTTTGTAGCCCTCCGCACAGGCGCACCTACCCGGCGCAATGCATTCCTGATGTGTGCCACACTTTTGCGGACACTTGGGGCGACAGTACTTCCTCGTCTCCAAATCCAACGTGTAACCAGGATCACACTGGCAGGTGCCATTTAAGAAGCAACGTCCGCTTTCGCAGGCAATCGGGCAAGTGTGCACACATTCGCCACGCTGGTTGCGTACGAACTCCGGAAAGCATTCGCATTGGTTGGGCRCACGGCAGAAACCGTTACGACAGTTGTTTGGTGAGACAGCCGAACAATCCGGTACGCATTGATCACCAACGAATCGCGAGCGTGTGTACCCTTCGCAGCACACCTCGATGCGTTGCCAGTGAACGGTGGAGCCATTGCCGATGATGGGCGCATCAGGCGCGGTTTGGAAATAACGTGCGCTTTAACCATGCCAAGCAATAGGAATATAGATAAATATRTATTTTTATTAATAGTTGAATGTCGTTTAAATAAATGCAAAAAATGTCATTACTTACGGCACCTCACGCAGACAGCGGTTACCGCTTTCCCCTGGATCATTGTAGCGTAGAGAAAAGCTACCGATCTCATAGTAAATGTCACCATATARCTGTTCGGTGTTTTGCTCCTGTGTAGTGGCAACGCTCAGCGCGGTAAACACAAATAGGGCGTAAGCCAAAAACATTGYKTAGGGGAAAGATTGAGAACTCGTATGAAGAAAGTACTGTTGTTGCTCTCAACACTTCATTGTTATGTGTGTCACTAATGTTTATATTTTGCTTTGATGCGCAGTGATGGAAATGTCAAAATCGATTGAGTCGCTGTGGCCTATACTATACATACAAGTACCCATTAACCGATAACCTTATCAGAGGATAGAAACTGGCTCGATTAATATGTAATTAACGTTAAAATAATAAAACGTTAAACACCGGGTGCTGCAGAGTCGAAAATACAAATTCGAAATTGAGGAAGGCCAGCCCAAAATATACCCCTGCACATTTCGGGCGGTCTTGGGTGGTGTTAAGGAGAKAGTTGATCGGTAGGAGAGTGCATTCTATATGCATTATGTTACTCATGTCTAAAAATAAGTTAAGTTTGTTATGACACACATAATTTTGTAMATTTTTTACATAATCAGCAAACCCTCAAACATGTATTTACTGTGCCAAGACTGATAATAATAATTTGAAAAACTCTTTCTGCCTTTGCAACAGCCACTCATGCCTTTTTTTTGCAATGAGAAAAGGCTCTACAGTTCCTTATCGGCGTTGCGTTTTTTTGAAATGAGCAAAAAATTAATTTTCAATGTCAAACAATCGTGAAAGGGCACATCGTGTGGGCAGGCACATCGGTCGTCTTGTTTATTTATCGCTACTGTATATATATGTATATCAGTTTATTGTTTACTTATTATTTTATATTTACTTATTAGATTTTCGCTTGAAAGTAGGCCTTTCGGCTGATAAAAACATTTCAAGACCGCAAAGGCATATATGTATAACATAAATTAGAAACAAGCTTAGAAGTTATGTAAGAATGAGTTGCATGGTGTGAACTAAGAATGCATACACCATTGATACAGAAATATATATTACAATGTAGAGTATCAAATGCTTATCAGAGGGTGTTACAATGGATTAACTAGTGAAGCTAAAAAATTAAAACCAGCTATATTCGATTGATCGAACTAGAAAGTGAGACGAATCGAACACACGGTTGGTATAAAATATTTCTCGGCTCGCATTCTTTGCACCCTATTCTCTTGTAAAAAAAAAAACCTATATGCGATTGAGAAGGTTTATGCCACGTCAGTTGGCGCAGATTGTGGGATCTCCCTTTTTGTGGATTGWGCGGAGCACACTTAAAATCCGGCCATCGGACATGGCTTCATCCGACCATATTCTAGAAATAAGCTGATGCATGCTCCTTATTAATTCTTCGTCGTCGTGTTTGAATAGCTCGGCTGACAAATGATCGGTACCCGCCGCTTTGAGGTTCTTCAGACTAGTGATTCCTATTCGAACTTATTTGTGCAGGAATCTAGTTGTCCAGGAAACTAAGTTTCGGGCCCYTTCGAAGTCGATCAGCCTCAACCAATTTGGAGAGGTTTCGCTATGGAGGCTGAATTTTCCGAATTGTGGCTACAAGCTCATCCACCGGTGTGAATGCCAGCACTCGGCGTCTGAGTCTTTCTCACACCACGATCCCCACCACGATCCCCACAACGAATTTCTGCTTCTTATATGGCCGCTGTAATAAATGTCACAAGGACCTACTCGTCCATGTTCTTGTCCCGTCCGCATTTGTTGGACGACGGTGGTGTCAGCCTTCTCAATTTAGGCACCGGACATTCCAGGTACATGTATTGAGTCATAGACTTTGTTATGTTTGCTGTGGCGCGTTTCTCATCCGAGGAAARAAATTTTACTTTAAAAATCATTATCTTTCATTTATTATGTGTAACAAAATATAAATGTATGCGTATTAAAAAGAATATTCTACAAAAATATAGTGAAAATGGCATAATGATACTGTTTATAAAAATATTTGGTGCAATTACTCTGCTTYTCTTACAATAGTAAGAGGATACGACGCGAGCGTCGATCAAATATTAAATGAGAGCCACTTTGCGTGTGGCGCTGTTGTTGGTGGCGTTCACGTTGGATGCGGACGCGGACGCGGACGCTGAAGGCACTTGCAGGAAATTGGCATTTTGCGGTGGTATAATCAAGTGGGCAATATGATGTTGCTGTTGTTGTAGGGTTGCGGCAGTCAAAGGCTGTTGGGCAATGAATGCTGATATTTGTGTGTGTTGCATAGGTTTCTGCAGCTGTGGCGCGTKTGGCGATAAACTCACTTGGCCAAGAGCGTTAGTGGTGTGAATGTGTTGTTGCTGATGTTGTTGTTGATGGTTGGAGAATTGTGGATGATTATGTTGCGGATGCTGCTGTTGGCTATGATGCCTTTGTCTGTGTTGAGTATTAAAGCTGAGTTGCTGTTGTTGTTGTTGTTGCTGGTAAGCTGCAGGATAGCGTATCTCATCGTAGAGATGCGAGTCTGGGCTGCCTTTGCGCGACTTGGGCGACACAATCGAATAGAGTGAGAGTTTGCGTGCGTAATCATAAGCGGACGTGTTGAACGACGAGTTGTTGCTGGGCGCATCATAGAATTCGGGTCCTGCTGCACAAAAAGAAAAATCGATATTAATTTTACTGCCAACAAATCACATTTCGGATCAGGACACTTACATACCCTCGATTTTGTTGCGCACCATTTCCGTGAAGGCCGGCAAATCAGGCAACGGTTTTAGGGAACTCTTACCGCCCACGCCAGACATTGCTGTGGCGTCCACCGTGCTACCACTGTCGCCGCCCAGCTCTGCGGACGGCCCACCGAAACTGGCATTGCGCACTGCCAACGCCGCCTCGACGCGCTGCTTTTGCCAGTGATAGCGCCGATATATATAGAGCCAACTAATGCCGATGGCAACAACAATGATGAGCAACAGCACAAGCAGTGTGCTTAGCAGATTAGCATCGTGTTCGGCTGCTGTGGGTGTGGGCGCTAAAGTGTGCGCCGGCGAMTCAATCACACCGCCAAGGCCAGCCAAACTCAGTTTGGTGTCTTGCGCTGCGCCTATCATGGAACCGTTAGCGTGCGTCGGCCAGTCGGCGCCCGCAGCTGTGATTACGTGTATCACCTCTGGTGTCTTGCCGCCGGCGGTGTGTAAGTCGCTCAGCAAGCCACCACTCAAGCCGGGTTGGTGTACAATTATTTTGGGCGTATGCTGATCCTCTTGYTTGATGACGATTACCTCGGGCGCGACGGTGAGTTGTGGCGGCACAATAGTGCTGGTGGCTATGKTCACTATTTTATTCGCTATGCGATCGAGTTTGTGCGTTATGTTGGCGATGGTGGAGTTGAGYGTTTGTATCATGACATGCGTAACATTGGGCATCACTGGGGTCAGCGCATCGCCACAGGCGCCCGTTTGCGGATGGCAGCGTTCGTCGGCGCAYTCGCACTCCTTGTGACACATGACGCCATACGTGCCGGTCGGGCAAGGCAGCTCACAACTATGTTGAAGAAAATACAAACATATAATACTACAAAAAATGTGCTGCAATCAATTAACGCTCACAATTCGCCCGTCCAGCCAGTAGTACA